GGGGGTTGGGGTGGAGGGATTTAGGAACACTCAGACCCCAGATAATGGGCTGCAGAGGTCCCAAAGGTCTGCGCAGTGCCAGTGGGATTCCTTGGAGCACAGTGATGGCAAAGGTGCTGGCTCCAGCCATGGGGCGGGGCTCTGAGTGAGGCTGCGGTTCCTGCTCCCAGCCTTCTGTGTCCAGATGAGGACTGAAACTGCACCTCAAAGAGGCAGCTGCTCTAAATCAAAGGAAAGCATGGTGACATCTGCCATCCCACATATAGGTGCTGTGCCCAAGACTGGGGTGCTCTGGTCCTCCAGAAGCCAGGGTCTGGAGGGATGCAGAAACAGGAGAGGCAGTGACCACACGGGCCAGGCCAAGATGGGGGCAGGGGGAGGGACTTGAGAATCCAATCAAGACTCAAGCGACGCAGGAGTGCTTCTCAGAACGGTAACATTCAAACCAACACCGAAAGGAGTAAGACTTGCTAGGGACAGGGGCGGGGAGGAGGGGAGACAAGCTCCCCGCGGTGGGAAACGCAGGGCAGACGCCTAGGGCTGGAGGGGTCCCTCGAAACCCCACGGTGCTGCGCGCGCCGCCCAAAAGAGCCCGGAGAGGAGCCGGGAGGGGAAGCCGCTGGGCACCCCTCCCGCAGCCCTGACGTCCTCGGCTCCGGAGGAGCGCCCCGTGGGTCCCCGAAACACCCACTCCGAACATCCTAGGGCACCTCGCCTTAGGGCCTTAGAAAAGGGACGGACACAGGCGAGCGTGGAGGGACGCGGGGCGGGGCTGGCAAAGCCTCGAAGCCCGACACCGTCAGAAGGGCCGGGTCGGGAAGCCGGGGCGAGCGCGACGCCGGGAGCTCCGAGGGCTCTCTCTAGGCCACCAACGCCAGCTCCGCCCCGCCCCCAGGCCCGCCCCCGGCAGGAAGCCAAGCCGTCGGGACCCGCCCCTTCCGGCCCCGCCCCACCAACTGGAGGCGAGCCCTCCCTCAGGCCCCGCCCCGTTCCGCCGAGGCTCCGCCCCCAAGGGCACAGCCCCACCCCCGCGGAGCTCTCGGGGCGGGGGCGGGGCGACTCCTCCCGCGGCCCCGCCCAGCTTCCCGGGAGACTCGGAGTGCGCTCGCGGTGCGCCCCTCCCCTCCCGAGGCCCCGCGCCCTCCGCGTCCCCGCTGCACCGGGCGGGAATGCTGCCCGACTACCTGTCCGCGGAGGGCGAGCGGCGCTGCCGGCGGCTGCTGGCGGGGGCCACGGCCCGGCTCCGCGCGCGCCCCGCGGCGGCCGCAGTGCTGGTGCCGCTGTGCTCGGTGCGCGGGGTCCCGGCGCTGCTCTACACGCTGCGGTCCAGCCGCCTGGTTGGGAGACACAAGGGTGACGTCAGGTACAGCGGCTGGGAACTCCGGTCCTTTCTGGGAGGAGGCCGCCGACCCCCGGACACCGCGGGGACCTGAGCCAGGCGCTCTGCCTCTCCGAACCTGGGTTTCCGCCTCTGGGGAACGGGTCTGGGGAGAGCCGCGCCCCGCGTCCCTCCGCCCCGAGCCTGGCGCCGGGGGCGCTCCCGCCTGGAGCCATGCCGGACGCCTCCAAGCGCGTCCCGCACCGCCTCGGGCCGGAACACGTCTCTGAGAAGGCAGGACCCGGCCTCCTGTCGGCGACTCCGGGAGATTCGGGCCCGGGAGCAGACGGAGCTCGCCGGGCGGGGCTGCCTGGCTTCCCGCCCTGCTCCCGCCCCCGTCCCAGTGGAAACTGGGGACACAGTAGGGTCGTAGCGCCACTGCGGCCACCATAGGTAAAACTTGCGTGTGTGAGCTCCAAGACCTCTCCCTCAGCCCCGGCGTTCAGGGAGGTCAACTGAGCCAGGACAGGTCACGTGGCTTGCCCGCGGCCTCACTACAAACTAGAGGTAGAGACAAAAGATGCTAGGTGGGTAGCTAGCCCTCTGCCACAGCTTCACCCCACCCACCATGGCCCCAGCAGACCAAGGACCAGGCTCCCTGTGCTTGTTCAGTTTCCCAGGTGGCAAATGTGACCCCACTGACCAGGATGTGGTGCATACAGCTCTGAGGGAGACCCGCGAGGAGCTGGGCCTTACTGTGCCTGAAGAGCATGTGTGGGGCGTCCTGCAGCCTGTGCACGACAGGGTAAGGCTGCCAGGCCCTGCGGCCATCAGGGACAAGCCGAGTGATCAGGGCCTCTGGCCAGCAAACAGCATGGTGGAGCACTAGGCACCAGCCTGGCAGTCACATTCCATCCTCACACAACCCATCAAGGACGGGCCAAGGGTATCTTAGCTCCTTTTCCCAGGGGATACTGAGGCTCAGGTCCTGGGCTGGAGGTGGCTCCAGGGTAAGCCAGCTCTGCCCAGCTTGGTGGAGAAGGGTTGTGGAAGTCTTCATAGGGTAGGTGGGGATTGGATGACAAGTGGGAGATTTTAGGGTAGTAAAAGCGGAGTGAGGGGAACAGTCTGCAAAGGCCCAGAGGGCCGAGCTCTAGCAAGTTCAAGGGCTCTGAGTTAGTGTGGCTGGAATGAGCTCAGGAGCAGGGGCTTCCAATGCTGAAAGCCTCTGGGTGGCCAGGTGGGGGTCTTCCTCTCAGGCTCCCCTCCCCAGCCCCAAAGCTCCACCGAGGCATGCCTCCCTTGACTACCTGTCATCCTCCTGCCCCAGCAAAAGGCCACTGTGGTACCAGTGCTTGCTGGCGTGGGCCCACTGGATCCCCAGAGTCTCAGGCCCAACCCCAAAGAGGTGAGTAGGGGGATGGTGGGGGCCAACCAATTGTGGGGAGCCTGCAGCGGCAAGTCCTCTGTCCTCCCTCTTACGGCCTCCCGCCCACAGGTGGACCAGGTATTTGCCCTACCCCTGGCCCACCTGCTACAGGAGCAGAACCAAGGGTACACCCACTTCTGCCACCGTGGCCACTTCAGCTACACACTGCCTGTTTTCCTGCATGGGCCACACCGTGTCTGGGGGCTCACAGCCATCATCACTGAGTTCACCCTGCAGCTGCTGGCACCTGGCGCCTACCAGCCCTGTCTGGCCACCTCCAAGCGGCTCACAGGCTAAAGGCCTGGCCATAACCAGCCCCATCCCTCACATTGCCAGGCCAGCTTCAATCTAGGACTGAATAAAGAGCCTTTACCAAGTCTGTGGCAACTGTCTCTTCTGCATTGGGACCTTGACCTAGGGCAGACCCCAGGGATGGCCTCCTGACTGGGGTGCCTCTGTCCAATCACACTGCTACCTATTGAACAGTGGGCACTTACAGTGGGTGCTTACTGTGTACAGGTACTTGGCCCTCACCACAGCCCTGAGGTGAGGCCAATGCTGACCCTGGCTGGTGAGAGCAGGGCTCAGAGAGAGGGGACACCTTGCCCAAGGTCACTCCATGCTAGGACTTGAGCCAAGCCCTCTCTGACTCCAGAGTGAAAACTCAGCCACAACACTGTAGTTCCTGCTCCCTCCTCTGTGCCTAGCTGACCCCTTGTCGGGCTGTAGGATTCCAAAGAGGAGCCCTGCATGTTACTGCAAAGTTCCAACATGCTAGGCTCCTCCCACACACCAGTACTGTGCCAGTGCCATATCTTCGGACCAGCCAGATGCTGCCCTGACCTCTGGGGGTAACTCAGTCTGGAAAAGACCTCAGAGTATGTCACACAGGTAATCATGTGACTGTACGTTCATTAATCACAGATAATAGTGGAGTTATACATTATGTAGACCAGAGAGAGGTGGTAAGCAGTCCAACCTTGTCATTGTGGACTGGGCAATATTAGCCAGGACAGGTGATAGGAAACTACCCACTAGCTGACTTTGCCAAAAGAGGAATGGTGATAAACTTGAGATAAACTAGCTCCAGGCATGGCTGGATCCAAGGGCTCAGGGGCTCCCTTTCTCTAATTGTGCCTTCCACTGTGTCAGCCTCACTCTTGGAGAATCTCTACTCTGCGGGGATGAGAAATGAGAGGGCAACAGCTCTAGGATGGCACAGCACCAGTATCCCACCAACAGGAACCAGAGCTTCATTTCTCTAGAAGCTCTAACCCAGAGTTGTTCATTCGTCATTGGCCCTCCCTGAACCTGTCACATGGCGTCTGCTGTAGTTGGAATTCATTGGTTGGCAGGATCTGCCTGCTGAGGCCTAGAGAGGAGGACAAGCCTCCTAGATGAGACTAGGGGAGGGGCAATCTCCAGAGACCACTGGGAAGAGACAAAAGTTTGAATGGGTAAAAATCAGCCAATTCCCCTGCAGAGTGACCTTGACACCAAAAGTGGGCAAGAGCAGGCCAGGGCAAAGGGCAAAGGAGGGAAGTTGGGGCAGAAAGAGTAGCACATGTGCAAAGGTTGGGGTGTTCAAGGACACAAGATTAGCAGTGTGGGGGTGGGGAGGGGCCCCCTCACTCAGGGGCCACCCTGGGGTGTCAAGGGAACCTGCTTCGGTGGTAGGTTAGGATTTTGTTCCAGGCTGGGAAAGCAGCACAGGGTGTTGAAGTGATGTGATTCCTGTTTGAAAAAGCTTGAGCTGCAAGAGGCCCAGGCTACAGACACCCTCCCCTTGGAGTCCTCTCCCTGGGCGCCCTTCCCCGCTCCACAGGAGCCCTGTCACCTCACCTCCCACACACCCCCTCTACACCTCCTGAAGTGTCCCCCACACCACGTGCTCCCTGCCCCCTGCACCCCTCCTGCCTCACCTACACCTTCCTTCATGGGCCCCTCCCATCACCCTCACACTTCACACCCCGTGTCACCACTGGCCCTCCAGACTCCTCACCTGGGAGCAGGGCGCATGATGATGGTAAAAATAACCGTGACTGTGTGAAACAGGGTGAGGGAGGTGGGAGGCTGAGCCCCTGCACTAAAGGGACCCTGGGGGTTGAGGGCAGAGAGGTGCCAGCCTCCAGAGCCCTGGAGATGAGCTCTGAGCCCCGCCCCTCCCCCCCCCCCAGCTCTGGGAGGCCCTTTGCTCACCCTCTTGCTCTAAACGGGCACCTCAGTCTGGCTTATACTCCGCGAACCAAAGCAGGTGGAGGAGCTCACAGAGTGGTGAGTAGCCGCCGGCCTAACTGCCTGCAGACTGGGGTCCCCCTTTGGGCCATAGCCCCCACTTCTCCCCCTCCCCACCTACTCTGATCCTGCACTTTGTCCTCAGGTCCTGGCTACCATTCCAGACCCCACTCCGAACCCTCGGGGATGCCTCTCCACTCAGGTTCCTTGGCCCGCTGCATTCCCCCTGTCTCCAGTCCGCAGGGGCTCCTCTGAGTCCCTTCCCCCATGCCCAAGCCCCCATGGCAGGCATGGTGGCAGTGAGCCGGGGGCGGCCACCGCGGGTCAGCATGCAGGAGCACATGGCCATTGATGTGAGCCCCGGCCCTATCCGGCCCATCCACCTCATTTCCGACTATTTCCCACATTTCTACCCCTTTACTAAGCACAGCCTGCCCACCCTAGACCCACACCCTGCAGTGACCCCTGCCATACACTCTGCACCCCAGCTGCAGCCTGATCCAGAGCCGGAAGGAGATTCAGACGACAGCAGTGAGTGGGGGCAGGGAACAAGGGGAGCACTCCTGGCCCAGCTCCCCAGGGGTAGGGTTTGAGGCATCCCAGGCATCTGACCCAGGAGGAGCTGGGCAGGAGGCATGGTGCCATTTGGGGGGTAGGGTGGGGTTGAGGTAGGAACTGACCCTGCCTGCTACCTGCCATTAGCTGCCCTGGGCACCCTTGAGTTCACGCTTCTTTTTGATGCGGACAACAGCGCCCTGCACTGCACGGCTCACTGTGCCAAGGTGAGGATGGGGGCAGGGGTCTATGGGCCAAGAGCCTGGGCCACAGGCCTGTCCCACATTCATTGTCCTTTCTCAGGGGCTCAAGCCACCGGCCTCAGGCTCTGTGGACACCTATGTCAAAGCCAATCTGCTGCCAGGGACCAGCAAGGTAAGGGTGAGACCCAGGCCCCTACTGGTGCCCCCTGGCCACACCCCAGCCTAGAATGCCCATCTGGCCCTGCTGTGTCCCTCCCGACAAAGCCTAGATATCAGGCATGGGGCTCCCCATCACTGGCTTGTGCAACTGGAGGCCTACCAGGGAGGTGGGCTGGGGTGGGGCCCCAGGCCCAAGGAGGCCCTGACCCATTCTACCTGGCCCCCAGGCCAGCCAGCTTCGGACCCGCACAGTTCGGGGCACAAGGGGCCCTGTCTGGGAGGAGACACTCACCTATCATGGCTTTACCTGCCAGGATGCTGGGCGGAAGACTCTGCGGTGAGGAATGGGCCTGGGCCACAAGGGGGCAAGGACGAGGTAGAGGGTGGGGGGAAGCTGACCTGGCTAGGTCTGACCTGAGTGGCTACCAGGCTGTGTGTGTGTGAGGACCCACGGCTGCGGCGACGGCGGCGGGCGCCTCCCCTGGGGGAGCTGCGGGTACCCCTGAGGAAGCTGGTGCCCAACCGAGCCAGGAGCTTTGATGTGTGTCTGGAGAAGCGGAAGCTGGTGAGTGGGGCTGGTACAGGTTGGGGTATGGGGACTAGGATCCTGTGGTGGGGAAGCTGGAAAAGGAACGGGGGGGGGGGGCAATATCTGGCCAAGTTGACCAGGCTCTTTGCTCTTTCAGACCAAGAGGCCCAAGAGCCTGGACACAGCCCGTGGCATGTCCCTGTATGAGGAGGTGGGTAGGGCAGTGGGACCAAGCAGGGATTGGGGGGCGTCAACCTGGGAGCCCAGGCAGATGTGCATCAGGCAGGGCCTCAGGTGGGCTGAGGGGGTAGATCCAGGCCCAGGTGGGCCTGGGGACACTGAGAAGCCATCTCCTTCACAGGCCCCCAGGTCTGGAACAGCCAGACCCCAGTGCCTGGACAGGGAGGGAGACTCCCTGGCTAGGGCAACTGAGAGCAGCCACTGGGCACTGGGACAAGCAGAGCCCTCAGGAGGCAGAGACATAGGCCAGATAGAAGCAGAGGCTGCAACTGGTGGGTTCTGTCCGTGGCCCAAGTTGGGAGGGCAGGTGAAGGTCCAGGAGAGAATGGACAGCAGATGGGGCTCTCTGGCTTCTAGGTTGACCCCTAAGCATTGTAGGTACCACTCCTGGGGCTTGTATCCCTACACAGGGGCTACAAGAGGCAGAGATGACTGCAAGAGGCTCCATGCCAAAGACCAAAGGCATGGCCAGAACCCCCACCCCCACCCCCAGCTCAGCAGAGTGAGGGCCCTGCAAGGCTCAGGGCAGGCCCTCCCCAGCTCCTCTAGGTGGTTAGGGCCAGGTGCTGCTGCCCTGCCCCCTGGTGGGGCTGCAAGTTACAGCACATGCCAATTAGCCAGGGCCAGGCTGGCAAGTCCCACCCAGGTGGGGCAGGCACTCTGAGACACACACTTCCTGTCCGAGACCCCACACACTGAAGCATCACTGTGCATGGCAGGTGCTTATGGAATACTCCCTTACTGAGAAAATGTAAGCAAGGTGGTTGGGCTTTATCTGAACTGAATCCTACCTTAAGTATGGGAGAAACACATTTTTCCCGGGCATCCTCCCCAAGTCCTCACCAGGGGCTGAGGGTGGCAAAGGACATTCAGAATCTGGTCCCCTGGGTGGTGGGGGGTGAAGAGGGTGGTAAGAGGTCATCTAGGAAGCTCTTAGCATGTTTGTGCCACTCAGACTCCAGCGCCCTTCCCCTCAGCGACAAAGATGGCCTGACCTCACCAGTAATATGGCCTGAGCAAGCCCCTCCCCTTCACAGGCCCTGGAGGGTACAGGGCCGATCTGGAAGCTCCCTTCCAGGGCACCAGGCCAGTGACTATTTTTGGAAACTGAATCATGACATTAAATTGTTGGCCCCTGATTTCTTGAGTTGTTACATTCAGGCTGACACTGGTGGGTGTGCAGGCTTGTGGTTGCACCTGGCTGACCACAGCCTACCCTGCAGGATGAGGTGGAGGCGGCTGGGGAGGAGCGGGGGCGCATCCTGCTATCACTGTGCTACAGCTCTCAGCAGGGCGGCTTGCTGGTAGGTGTGCTGCGTTGCGCCCACCTTGCCCCCATGGATGCCAATGGCTATTCGGACCCCTTTGTTCGCCTGTGAGTATAAGTGGGTGGAAGGGCAGGTGGACAGTGGGGGTTCCCTAGAGCCCCTCTCCGGGGCCACACCTAACCTGATCCCATCCTTCCCAACCAGTTTCCTGCATCCAAATGTGGGGAAGAGATCTAAATACAAGACCAGTGTTCGGAAGAAGACCCTGAACCCTGAGTTCAATGAGGTAGGCCAGGGCCAGGTGGAGGCAGTCTTCCAGGGTTAGGGAGGTCAATGTTCTCTCAGCCAGAAAGCATAGGCCCCCTCTAACCTGAGCAACTCACCTGTTTCTGAGTCTGTAAAGGACTCAAGGCCCCTTCCTTCCTGCCTTTCTGCCCCCTTCCCTGCAGGAATTCTTCTATGCAGGCCCAAGGGAGGAGCTGGCCCAGAAGACACTGCTGGTGTCTGTATGGGACTATGATCTGGGTACAGCTGACGACTTCATTGGTGAGAATGTGGGGAAGCGGGGGTAGGGGTCCAATGGGCTCCCACATGGCTCCTGACTCCTGTCCTCCAATCCAGGTGGGGTCCAGCTGAGTAGCCAGGCCGGTGGGGAATGTCAGCAGCACTGGTGTGAATGCCTGGGCCGCAGTGACTGCCGACTGGAGCTGTGGCACCCGCTGGACGGTACGCCCCTCCAGCTCAGCGACTAGAAGTGGTACCCAGCCTGTTCCTGCCTACCACCCTCCCTCAAACTGACCCATAGAGCTGGGAGGACCTGGAGCTGCCCCACCCACCGTGCCCAGCCCCACATCAAATTGTTTGCTTTCTTATCCCCCTTTCAGATTCACTCCCCTGCCAACCATAAAGCAAGAATAAACCTTCAAATCAGACCAAACAGTGTTCTTTTCCCTGCCCATCACCTCACAGGGCAGACTGGGCCCCGTTCTTGCTCCCATCCTCCAGAGGCCCCCACTGGGCCTGGGCCAGGGCCAGGTCTGAACCCCAGGCCACTGCCTTCCCCTCGCCATACTGGGAAAGGCCCTTGTACCTGCCCCTGCTAGCTGCACTCAGGGATGGGTGCTCAAGATGGTTTGGGACAGACTGACTCACAGGAAGCCAAGGTGTGGATTCATGATATGACCCTGAGCTGACCTATCCTTCCACCAAGTGGGGTCCAAGTAGGGTATGGGAAGCCTCTAATCCTGTCTGGGAAACAGACCTCCATGAGTCATGGGCTACAGTGCCAAAGTGAACAGCAAGGCCACAGAACAGATGCATCATGAGAGTGGGCAGCACTTGCTTTATTGTCCAGCCATCTGGACGGATGGACTTCGGTGCAGGGCATCGAGCTCAAGAGGTAGCTTGCCTGGCCTGGTGCTGCTGGGCAAACCTCTGCATTCGTTCCTCAAGCTCTGGCCGAAAATGGCGGATCAGGCCCTAGAGGCAGGTAGGAGACACCATGAAGCAGAGCTGAAAATCTCAGCACCCTAAGGCCTCAGCACCCCCCCACCCCACCCCAGTGCCCACAAGCAGGGCAATGAGTACCTGCACAGGCCAGGCGGCTCCATCGCCCAGGGCACAAATGGTATGGCCCTCTATCTGTTTGCTGATCTCCCAAAGGGAGTCGATCTCAGCTGGCCGGGCATCCCCCCTCACAAAGCGGGCCATCACCTTGTTCATCCAGTCCACACCTGCAGTCATGGCAGTAAGAGAGAGCCCAATGATCTCCAGCCAGGGTGTAGGGAATAGCACTCCAAGGCTGTAGGCCATGGGAAGGGCAAGGCCAAGAGAAATTACAGCTGGCTGGGAAGCAGCAGCTATACACTCAGTGTCCAGAGCCCACCCAACCTTTGCCCTGTGCCTGACCCAGGCCTAGGCGAGCCAAAGAAGAAGTCCCCACCCTGCCCAGGGAGCTTACCCTCGCGGCATGGAGTACACTGGCCACAGCTCTCGTGCTTGTAGAACTCAATAAGGCGGGCAATGGCTTTCACAATATCTGTCTGGGGTGACAAGAGAATGAGCAGGCTCCTAGGCTGGAGCCTCAGACCTTTAGTAGCACACCCTGATTCCAGCAATGTTCTGGCCACCTCCTCCACTCCCCCTATCCACTGGCCCTGCCCAGACCCCAACAGGCATTCCCTCTAGTCACAGGACCTGGGATCCAAGAGCTGGCAAGAGTTCTCAGGAAGCCCAGGGAGGGGTACTGTACCACTGGGTGGGGAGCATAGGCAGCCCTTACCGAGCGATCCATGACAATCACAGCAGCTGTGCCCAGGCCTGTCTGTGCTTGTACCAGCGCATCAAAGTCCATCAGCACTGTCTCACACACCGACTTGGGGATCAGTGGTGTGGATGAGCCACCGGGGATCACAGCAAGGAGATTGTCCCAGCCACCTGTGACACCCCCTGGGACCACAGTTCCCAAAAGGATGGATGATCAGGGCTGGGACCAGCATAGCTGCCTAGTCCTGAGCCCAGGACCTCTGTCTGCCCCTGCCCAGCACTGCCTCATGAGGCCCTCCCTGGCTTTCTCCACGAACATCCTGCCCCACTTCTGCCCCGGTTGGCCCCAGGCCTCACCAGCATGTTTTTCAATCAGTTCCTTCAGGGGTACAGACATCTCCTCCTCCACGGTGCAAGGGTGGTTGACATGGCCAGAGATATTGAACAGTTTGGTGCCGGAGTTACGTTCACGACCAAAGCTGGCAAACCAAGCACCCCCACGGCGGCAGATGGTGGGGGACACAGCCACTGTCTCCACGTTGGCCACGGTTGTGGGACAGCCAAACACTCCTGTGGAGGAATGGGATGAGGGACTGGTGGCCACCAGAGGGTGGTCAGGTTTCCTAGCAGTGGGGTCTGTCTCAGGGTCCTGCTCTGTGATCCAGTCCCCCTTCACTCTTTTGTCATTCCCATCCCCGACTGGATCCCAAACTCCCAACATACGAACTCCCAACATACACTGCAATGCCTTTTCATCTCTCTCCCCCTAGTCCCTAGAGGACTGGAGAGGACCCAAGTGTCTGACATGGGGGCTGAGGCAGGATGAGGGACTGCTGTCACCACCTTACTCAGCATCTGGCCCCAAATCCAGAAAGTGCTCAGATATTCCCTAAGAAAGACCACTGGGCACCTGATACCCGATGAGATTCCACAGGACACAGAACAAGGCTCAGGTTCAGGCCGAGTCTTACCCACGTCGGCAGGGAATGGCGGCTTCAGGCGGGGCTTGCCCTGCTTGCCCTCAATGGACTCGATGAGTGCTGTCTCCTCCCCACAGATGTAGGCCCCGGCCCCACGCACAACAAACACATCAAAATCATAGCCAGAGCCACAGGCATTCTTGCCGATCAGACCAGCCTCGTAGGCCTCTCGAATGGCCACCTGTGGGACAAGAGTGTGAGGGTGCCACTCCCACCAGTCCAAGAACAGTGTGTGGTGGGGAGGGGAACAGACCGAGGGAGCCCATGTTCATAAAAGTCTGGGAGAAACATGAGCAGAGGATGCTCTGGAAGGTGGGGATTTTACAATGTGTAATCGTAATAACATTTAACAAATTCTCCAACTACATGTATTTTTAAAAGAAAGGCTGAGGAAATAATGAAGATTTTAATAAGCACCTTCCTACAGATAGTGGATCTGTGGGAGGTTTTCTTGTGTGTATGTATGTGTGTGCTTTCCTATCTTTATAAAGAGCAAGTATTACTTCTGCAGTAGAGGTTGATTTTTAAATATGTAACAATAACACTTATACATAATGCTACTTTGTGCCAGGCGCTGTCCCAGGTGCTGTTTCCGCATCCCTCATCACTGTTGTGTAAGAGCCTAATAGAATGGAGTGAGACTCTGGCCCTGGACCAGTCACTACAGGTGCCACTGAGCTCAGAATTACTGAAATGACCCTTTGACCCTTCTGCAGGAAAAATACCTGCGAGCCAACCCTGCCCCAGGAGTCATGGAGGCCTGAAAGCCTCTCAAGTTGAGGCTCTGGAACATACAGAAAGAGCCCAGAGGAGGCTTTGGGGGCCATGTCCTATTTACGATGCATGCAGCAGTGGCAACCACTCTTCAGTTCAACCCCAAACAGACCAGGTGCTAAAATCTAAGAACAACTATGGCAGTAAGCAAGCACGTGAGTGCATACCCAGCACCCTCCCTTCTGTGGATGCCACTCCCCTTTCCCACCTGCAGATTGGAAGCCTCATTGTAGAATTCCCCTCGGATGTAGATGTAGGCAGCACGGGCGCCCATGGCCCGGCCCCCAACTAGGCAGCCTTCCACTAGCTTGTGGGGATCGTGGCGCATGATCTCCCGGTCCTTGCAGGTGCCCGGCTCACCCTCGTCTGCATTCACGACTAGATACTTGGGCCTGTGGGTGCCAGCACATTGGTGAGGCTACAGGGCCACCAGGGCCTTCAACTACACGCCACCCCACTCCACCCAAGGAAGCCTCAGAGATGTCTCCTCTGATAGTCGATCTCTCGCAGTCCTCCCAACAGTTCTAGGAGCTCTGCTTGCTCACCATCAATGACAGCAAGCTCACTGCCTGTTACATCCTTGGGAGACTATGACCACGGGAAAGGTCTTTGTTCTGCTCAGTCCACATGTTCCCTTGTGCTTTCCTAAGAGCCCAAATTCTGCTCTTGGTCACTAAGAACCTTCCTGAACCTCTGCCACACCTCTGGGGTCAAAAGGAGGTAAAGTAGCTGACATTTATCATTTGCTTTCTATGTGCCAACCAATTTAAGGGCCAAGAGCTATATGAACACTATATCTTAATCCCTGCAAAATAGAAAATCCACTTATAAAAATAAAACTGAGTTCAAAAAGACCAGGAGATAGCACAAAGCCTTATAATTAGAAGGCAGGGGATCCCTAGGTGGCTCAGCCTGGTGGTTTAGTGCCTGCCTTTGGCCCAGGGTGTGATCCTGGAGTCCCGGGATCGAGTCCCACATCAGGCTCCCTGCATGTTTTTTTTTTTTAATTTTTTATTATTATTATTTTTTTATTCATGATAGTCACACACAGAGAGAGAGAGAGAGGCAGAGACACAGGCAGAGGGAGAAGCAGGCTCCACGCACTGGGAGCCCGACATGGGATTCGATCCCGGGTCTCCAGGATCGCGCCCTGGGCCAAAGGCAGGCGCCAAACCGCTGCGCCACCCAGGGATCCCGGCTCCCTGCATGTTGCCTGCTTCTCCCTCTGCCCATGTCTCTGCCCCCCCCCCATGAATAAATAAAATCTTTAAAAAAATAATAAAAAATAAAAAATAATTAGAAAGCAGGATTGACCAATACGTCCGCATGAGTCAAAATCTTTTTTTTTTTTTTTAATTTATGACAGTCACAGAGAGAGAGAGAGAGAGGCATTGACACAGTCAGAGGGAGAAGCAGGCTCCATGCACCGGGAGCCCGACATGGGACTCGACCCCGGGTCTCCAGGTTCGCGCCCCGGGCCAAAGACAGGCGCCAAACCACTGCGCCACCCAGGGATCCCATGAGTCAAAATCTTGTGTTGATTCTGCTATACCTGAGGAAGACCAGAGAGAACTGACTTTCACCTACTTAAGCTCTGGTGAGGTTCTCTCATTCATTCACTTTTAGTTTCAGAGGAAACAGTCCCAGGGCCCAGGTAAGCCACAGCCACCCCCACGTTTCTCCTGCAACCCCATCTCTGCCTCCCTACACACACCTGCCATCTGAAGGCTTATTCATGAAGCTCCACTTCAGGCCAGTGGGAAAGCCAGCACCACCACGGCCCCGCAAGCCAGATGTCTTGACCTCACCCAGGATCCAGTCAGGGCCCTTCAGCAAGATCTCCTTTGTCTTGTACCAGTCACCCCGACTCTGGGCACCTTTCAGCCTG